AGTCATCCAAGTATCATGTGGTTGTTTTATTAATCACAATGCTGCTGGAAAGTTTTATTACTGTGTTGCCCTGGAATATCTTCATTAAAAAAATATTGTGATTGCAAATCATCTAAAGTAACATGAAATATGCTATAAAAGCAGGTTCCATTTGTGCAACACTTATAGTTCCAAGAAAAATGTTGGGTTTTTTTTTACATTCTATAAATGTCTTCTAGAAATCATGTACGTGTTCTGTACAGTTCTGTTTTCTAGGGTAGGATTGTTCATGCTGATAAATCCACATTGTGCCTTATCTTTACAATTGGTCCTTTCCATTCCAAGTAGTCTTTCATTACGTTTACAGCTGGATGTTCCAAGTATCTCCTCCAGGATTATGACAGCCAAAGGATTTCATAATACACTTATGTGTTGTTATAAACTGTGCCTTGAAATGTTCCATAAAGCAGACAAAGGAGCCAGAACTTGTATTAGTTTCACTTTTTTTACTACACTTCTGAAGAACTGTTCACTAAGTAACATTAAACTAGAGCAAAATGAAGTGCTTTTAGTTCGGATTTTGCAGTACTATTTTACCTCTCCTACCTGTTCTGCCTATATACTCAGATTCTAGCTCCAAGAGGAGCGTTCTGATCTAGCTGTTCATCATAAAATGACTTGTTCATATTTCATCGTAAAGTAACTTGTCCAATTCCACATGAGAGATCAGTGCGAGTTGGAAATAGAAACCTGGTCTATTGATTCTCCATCTAGTGTCTTGTCCAGATACTGAAATACTTTTGGGAAGTGATTTATTTGTACTGCCAATAACTAGAATATTTCAGTCACCAGTCCTGTCAGTCCAACACCTTTCAGCATGTTAAATTAACTTTTAGAAAAATAATAAAAATAATGGTCTAGTTAATTAATGCACTAAGAATTCTGTAGAAGTCCTTATGACATCAACATTAATTCATTATGAGTTCATTATGATTAATGTTGTTGAAATAAATGTCACAGGAATGAATAAAGATTTGGTCATTATTTTAAAGTGTTGCCGTTGGGTCTATAAAGTTAATGATTCAATTCAAAGAAAGTAATTCCACATAAGTATGTCTAAAACTTGTAGAGGATTCAAACTTCTCTACGAAAAATGGTCCTAAAAGTGGGTATAGAAAGTTGTATTGGGTTGTGACTGCTATTTGGATGCTAATGAATCTACAGGACAACGGTTAACATACCTGAACCTGGAAAACCAAGAGTGTTCAATATTAACGAAGCCTGGGGTTGGGAAACTGGTTGGCCTGGGAAATTCCTGGATATTCAGAATTTAAGAATTGACAATGTTTATGTACTGTACTAAAGATTTCTCCCCCGGGGAGGGGGGTGTGTGTGTGTGTGTGTAAGGCCAGAGGGTTGGGTTTTTTACCCAGTAGATGCATCTATATGAGATGCTTTACTGCAGAGCCAATTAGTCAACTCCATAGTAAAGCATCATCATCTACACCATCTTACTGTATTGGGCCAGAGTAAATTAATTAACTCTGCCATAGGATAGTACTGCCCAACACAAGTACTATCCTACAGCAGAGTTATTTACTGTGCTGCAACCCATGTGTAGACAGTGAGCACCCTCTGACCCCAGTCATCCCTGCTGTAGTGTGGGGGATGCCTGCCAGCTAGCTCCATACTCTAGCACACTCATGCCCCAGCCAGCCCCTCCAGAGCATGTTGATCCAGTTCAGAGCAGCTCTGGGCTGGTAGGCTGATTCTAGGGCCTCTTGCCAGGCAGGGCTGTGGCACCTTGGCTCAGTGTGCTGTGGTCTTGGGTATACATGTAAATGTTCTGCATGAGAGCAATAAGCTCTAGCACAAACTGTACCAGACTTTATTTCACCACAATAATATCGCATGTAGATGATGTACCCAGTGTGTGTGAAACTACTGTTTCTGTGAATTCTGGCCACGCTATTTAATTAGGTTTTGTGGTTCCTTTTACCCATCTTCATTTGCCTAGAGCCAATGAAATACAGTCAATTCAGAGTTGGCAGGAAAAGTGCTGTCAGTCCAGCACCTATTCCACAATGGTATGGACAGCAGCAACGTGAAGTTTCTTCACAGTCTCAATAGATTTATTGCTCTTTTAAGGTCAAACTGGACCATTCTAAACTGTGTAAAAGAAGTCATTCCATACCTGTCTAAAAATCTGCAAGGACTTTGAACACAGGTTTGAGACAAAAGATATCAAAGAGAATGGCATCACAAGCCTCGTCGACATAGGAAAAGGGGAGAGGAGTTGGGATAGAAAATGATAAGTTGAGGTTTCATTAGTAGGGGCCTACTTAAATGACAGTTTTGTAGATGTCACAGAAACTGCAAAATCTAAATTGTACACAATCTGTGAAATTCATGAAATCAAGAAAAAAAAACTTAATAAAAATAAAATGCTAGCTCCCCAGTGGGAGCCACCAGTCCTTGCAGCCTGGAGGAGAAGGCACTGAACAGCTGGTGCGGCAGCATGAAGGGCAGCTGACAAGATGGTCCCTCCTCCGCCCCCCCCCCCGGGGCCCCTTCCCTATCCAGCCCCGAGGGGGGGGGCCCTTCGCTATCCAGCACCGAGGGGTGGGGCCACACAAAAGGAAGTCAACCATCAAGATAGTGGCTGCCCTCTTTCCCTTCCTCCCCCTCAGACTTCTCTGCCAATCATCACTGAGGGGTGGGTCCTCTCTGCTAATCAGTACAGTAGGGGGCCACCGCAAAAGGCCCAATAAATCAGTTCTGCTCGCCATGAGCAGGCCACAAAAACCTTTCATCTCACTGCAATTTAGGTAAGGCCCTATGCATTAGACTGAATTGAGCCTGAGGGTGGAGAGTATTTCAAGGAAATATGTTTAATTAAAAAAAAAGTGTGCATCAAGAAAAAAGAGTGTCTTTAGAGAAGCAGACCTCGCTGACTCATCATTTTCCCTGAAATGTTACCCTACCACTTTACTGTATCATTAGCAAAAGGTCTTAAGCCATGCCACAGATCAGGTAGGAAATCTTTTTAAAAAGATCAGTCTAGAAAAATAAAATTTACTTTGAATATGTTTTACTTTCTCATATGAGAAGAATGACAAGTAGATTCTGTAGACGCAGAATGCAAGTGAAGTGGGAGCCTTTCTGTTGGGTTAAAAATAGATGAGTCAAAGTTGTAAGAAGCAATTGCAGCATATGGAACTCTTCCCCTCCTCTTCTCCCCCCACCCACCAAAGCCTCCTGTCCTGGACTTTAAGCAGTCCCCTAAAGCATTGTCTCCTAAGTTTTAGAAAGTACCAAAATACTTGCACAGCTTTAAAAAGTGCATTGATGTTACATTTTGGACATTTAAAAAATATTTGTCTCTCAAGCTCCTTTTTAAAACCCTTTGCTAAAGCAAGAATGGATCCCAGACCTTACTGCTGTTGTACTCCCACAAAGGGAGTTGTGGCACCTGATCTTAGATGCTTTGCTACCTAGTGAAATCTTAACCCCGAGCTGGGTATCTAGGATAATGTATAATGCATGGGGAAAGTCAGAATGAGGCCCTGAGTTCATAAAGCTGAGTGAGAAGCCATCAAGTTAGTCAGCAGTAAATGTTGAGAGAGAGAGGAATTAAGGTGCCTATCTCTAATGTAGCCATCTAGTCAGATTTCTTTTTTTGTTTGGCTGTGAAAGTTTTCGGGATTCTGATTGTGTAACTACTGAGTTATTCATCTCTCTAGGGGAAAGTTTGGATAGATAGTAACTGAACATATTGAATAAGCTCTCAGACCCTAAGAGCAAGAGGACCTAGAGAGAATGGTCACACGCACACCCCCAGATTCTGGGGCACTTTAATGAATGGCGATGTGTCCTTGTTTTCTGTAATTTACAATTCCTGATGGCAAGGTTCCCTACAAAACCAAGATGTCCCCTGTTCAATAACTATTCCCCATTTCTTTTATGATTGGGTCAATATAGGTATTAAAAAAAAATAACTCTACTAATTTGTAGTAGAACCCTAAATGGAAAATGTTCCTCAGAAAGAAAAGAAAACAATAATTCATTCCCTTCTCACCTGGGTGTCTCCCAATCCAAGCCATTGGGTGGAAGCTTGTTCCCACTGAAATTTCCATCACCATTAAATCTGATGCTAATGCTCTCATTAGCATTAGCATTAAATTTAATGGTGATGGAAGCTTGCCATGGAGTCTAATCCATGCTGAATTGGTGAAGAAGTAGCTTCCATGGAGTCCACATGCATATGAATTATGTTAGAGGAAACGAGCAGTGCACGCCACTTGCTCTGCTTCCCTCTTACCTTGGGGTCCTGTACCCTGATAAAAACTCTACCATTCCCAGGCAAGTGACATTTATTGTATGCAAAAATCACTTTGTCCTCGGTTTCAATTTTATTGGTGAAAACACCTACCAAGAACATTGCTAAACCCTGTATTTCACTCTTACAGCTCCTTTCCCATAAGCTCTGCCTTTCCCAGATTCCTCTGGCTAGGGCCTACTTCTGTGTTCATTTTATTCAAATTGGCTTTTAAGCAGGGACAACGTCTTAACCTGCGGCCACAAGAATCCCCACAGCCAAGGGGCTGTGCCCTGCTCGCCCCCCACTGCCTGTGCCATGTTTAAAGGGCTCAATGCAGGCAGGGAGCCCTTCCCTGGCCAGGTGGGGAAGGACTTCCTTGCTCTGCTCCCGACCCATCTTGGGAACCCACGCATCCCCTGCAGCACAGCCCACCTGCAAGCAGCCTGGCTTCAACTATTTTATTTTGGTGCGTTTATACCACAATTTTGATTTTTCTATGGATTAGGGGGCCCCAAAAATTTGGGCTGGCCCTGCTTTTAAGGAAAAACACCTGCCTCACAAGAATCATCCATAACTAAATGGCAGCTCCCTGCGTTGTTCTGGCTCCAGGCAAGGGAAGGGTATTTAAAATAATGCCACCCTTTGATAGTCTTTTGTTCCTCTGCTGAATCTGCCTTTTTGTGTTCTCCACCTTCCACAGAGCTGTTCCTGCCTGTTTTTCATCATCTTGACTCTCACAACATACAAGAACAGAATGGAGCCCTGGCAGGAAGCCTGTTTATGAAAATAGATAGCAGTAGTGTCTCCTCTAGCGCAGAGCTGAGGTGACACTGTCTTAAGAATATGTAATAAAAGAACATAAGAAACTGATCAATATTTTATTTTGAGTGTTGTCAAATAATGCAATAAAGTCATTTAAGTAGTACATCTTACTATGGAGTTAAAATCACTGGAGGTGGAAAAATGCACGAAGGGCAGGGAAGAAAGTGCCTACATCATTTTAAAGGAAGCACATTTGGCTGGTCATGAAACTTTTTTTAACTGTGGTGATGTAAGGTCTCACTGCCCAAATGACATTGGGAGTAGAAGGAGGAATCTGCAGAGTGTACATTTTAGTGATGATAATGTAATTATATGCAGCCAGTTAGCAGCACACTTTAACCCTGAGAGTTCTGGCACTTTTTAGACTGGTAGCCAAATGGGTGCTTGGTGCTTCGGTAGAACATCTCAAATGTCCGCTACACAAGTGACGCTTGTGACAGAGAAGATTCTTCAGTCCAGTAGTCTTCAGACTTCTGGATCTCACTTTCTCAGCCCTTTAGCCCACCTGCCCCACAGTCGATCTCCTCCTGACCTCATGCATAGCTTCACAGTCTTTATCCCATGTGCTCCTCTTGTCAGGAATGCTGCAAACACAATGGAGCTAGCTCTGTATGCACCAGCATGGGAACAAAAGCAGAATAGCTGTGTTCAGGAGGCACAGCATCTGGGCTAACTAATGGTGACCTTTAGCAAAGGTAATCAGCCTGCCTGCAGAGCTACACAAGGCATCTCGGCGGCTTCCCATTCAAGAGTTAGTGCAACACTGCCTGATGCTATGGGAACAGTTTAGGAGAGTTGACTAGTCCACTGGCATCCCCAGGATCTCTGTGGCTCACAGGTTGAGAACCACTGATCTAGCCCATCCCCCTGTTAGCAAGGTATAAACTAGTCAGAATTGTTTTTCCATTGGCTGTATGATTCAACCTAAGAGTTACGAAGACCTTTTGATGATTAAACTGAGTTAACTTCGGTTTTCTAGAGAACCTATGGAGTCATGTCTGTCTTCACCGCGTAGTATAGAATCCCTTTTATGCTCATCACAGACAAGTTCTGCCTTCTCTTTGCCATGCTATCGAATAAACTTTCTATAGTCCAGGATGCTACAGAATAAACTTCCCTATGGTATATCAGACTGCTTTGTCCAGGCTAGCTTTTAACGACTCAAGCAGTGGCTCATCTATCACTTGCCTAAAATGGAAAGCAAAACATGTTAGCAGTAGGTACTGAAAGTTCATGAGCAAGTTCAGTGGGTTTAAAGGTTTATCAGAAAGGCAGAAAGAACAGGAAATGCATTTGAAATTGCTAGTGGTAGTGATAAATACTAATGGATGGACTCTTTCGTATCAATGATATGAAAAGGTGATATATTGGACTTGATGTTCTTGATGTGTATTATTATACATTGTTAATAATATATAATACTGTTTACTACCATTGATATATGATGGCGTGTGTGTGCAGACACACACACACTATATATAGTGTGTATATATTTGCGCTTTCTCGCTCTCTCTTATACACACTTTCACACTATAATGCATGTGTGCCTTTGTGCCATGAAATGACTTTAACTGTATGCTTTAATATGCACATCAACTTTTCACAAGGCATGTATGATCCACATTTTTCCTTCAAAGGCATGGGTACTCTGCATTGAACTCTTTTCTATTTAACCATAGGTATAAATTTCACAAGTATTTTCTTTCTTGTTTTAATTGGGGAATTTTTCCAGAGCAGGGAACCACAGCCTTGAACACACAACTTTAATTATAAATAAACACCAAGCAAGACATTTCTTTTTCTTTTCAGGCAGCCCTGTTAACCAACCCAGAGGAAGACACTTCTGCTGTTTGGTATGGGAAAAATCAATGAGAGTGTTTCAGATGAGCAGGGACTAGACAAATATCTTATTGTGGCAATAAGCCCTCTCAACATTATTTCCATAGACTGATTGTATGTAGTTATTAAGAATGCATAGCTGTAGATTCAAACAGATAGGTAGCCTACGCATTTAATCTGTAAATGAAAATTGTATTGTGGAATACAGGACCATTTTGAATTCACATTGAGGGCCATAGTAGCTGCAAACTACAAGGCAAGAGAACAAACTTAAACAAATTCTTAAAATTATGCACGTGGGTAAGTGCTTTGTTATGTCAAGGCCTAGGAACTTCTAGCTACTGAGAATGTATGGAACTTAGTTAGCTCTGCAACTCTTCTAACATCTGGCTATGTGAGCAAGGTACAAATCGTTCAGGCCAAAAGAGGTATAGTTTGCAGATTGTTCCTTTGGCTCATTACCACAGCTATTCAGTTAAAGTAAGTGTGATATCATTAGCACCATTGGAAAGGGGAAGTGGAAAAGACTGATTAATTTCTAATATTATAAATGAAGAGAAGATCCCACATTGATGAGAAAGAAAGTCTACAGATGCATATCAGCTGCCCACTCTGAGGTATAAGCAACTGTGGTTTGAGAACATGTGATATCTAGTATCTGGGTACATTTTAGTTAGATAGTTGATATACAGTAAGTTAACCTACTTGAGGTTGCCTTTGTTTGCATAACTTCTTGCTTGTGTGGTTTTCTGAATAGCTAAGGGATGTATTCAACACAGCAGGAACTGCTGCTTCAGAAATCATTTCCTTTTTCTTCTTTCCAGGGTGCCGCATCTATTTCTCTCTCCCTATTCTGAGAACACCTCTTGCAGAGCTCTAAATGATGCTGCCGAAATTCTGAAAAAACCTTTACAAGTCAATACTTCATGCTAGCAGGCTAGAGAAGCAAATAGCTGAATCCCTACATGGGTATATTTTTCTTTCTGCTTATGGTAGCGTATACAACCCCCAACACACTCAGGCATACTATATTATAAAATACTAGACAGTTTAGAACAACGCTTCAGCAGTCTGTTCTGTGGTTGATAAATCTAATACCAACTGTGTTTTTAGAAACCAAAAGAGAAATAATTATTCCCTCTGCATCCAGTCCAAAATGATGGGTGCCTTTATAACAGTCGCATAAGTATTCTTATTCTTATGCAGTATGTCTATTCTTATGTCTTTGCCCTCCATACAGCATTAGGAACATGAGGAAACAAGATTGGCACAGCTGGATTCCAGTGGGTTTTGGATTTTTGTTGGGTTGGGTTTTTTTGGTGGTGGGGGGCAGGGTTTATGATCTGAACAATGACATCCATATTCTATTTGGGTTACTTCTCAATTTTTTATCTTCGGCTCATACAGAGGACTGGGTCATCAAGCTAAAATCTCTGCTGTCTCAGAAAACCACAATATATATAATCCCCTTCATAAAACAATCAAACTTCATGTCAAAACTGATTAGCTTTTTGATCATATTGTAGCAGGCTTACCTTTCAGAGCTTGGGTTGAGTCCCAGGCTTGAGATCCTGCTCTTTTGATTGGTGGAGCCCATCCACCAATCAGGAGGCAGCTGGAGAAATTACATCACACCCCTTTCCCGAGGGGAGGGGGAGAAGAGCTCTCCCGGACCTGATTGAAGACTGTAAACTGTCAGGTCCGGAAGACTTCTGGGGCGGAGCCCTGGAGCATATAAAAGAAGCTGCGTGCCCAGCACGAGGGAGATGCATCGGGGACAGAGAAGAGAGAAGAGTGGGGCTTGGAAGAGCTGAGGAGAGCTGCTCAGCAGGGCAAAGCAGTAGCCCAGGAAAAGCCCCTGAAGACTTCTATCGGCGAGGAGTGGGGGATGGCTCCAGCAGTTAGGCTCTCGGTGCGCAGCACGGTGCACAGCGTCCAGACCCTGGGAGCTGTGTGAGATGGCTCGGGTCTGCAACCTCTGGTGTGCGGCCAGAGACACGGTGCACAGGCCAGTGCACAGAGCAGGATCTTTGGAGCACCTGGGGCAGCTCAGGTCCTCAACCCCTGGAACGAGGCTGAGAGCTCGGTGCAGGAGGCGCTGCATGGAGGGTGAGACACCCTGGGAGCCGCGTGAGGTGGCTCGGGTCTACAGCTGCTGACATGGGGTAACAGCTCAGTGCAGATGACACTGCCCAAAGGGTCTGGGAACAGACTGAGCCCCGGTGATGCACAAGGCTGCCCAGGCCTCCAACCCCTAGCACAAGGCAAAGCTCCCACTATGCACAGCGGTGCATGTGGCCCTAAGCCAGGACAGCGGCAGCAGAGTCAGGTGGAAGGAAAACCCAGTGGGAACAGACCTTGACCTGGAGAACAAGAGGCAACCCCCTGGGACTGTGGAGTAGTAGCAAGTTATCCTGGAGAGAGGGTCCCCACAGGGGAGGTACCCCCTGAGGGATGCAAAGGGGCACCATGTGGGCCGCTTCTGGGTTATAGCGGGGGAGCTTAGGAGTCTTTGGGGTCTTCTTCTCCTTTTCCTTTCCCCCCACCTCCTTCCCTGTAGTGGTACCTTAGGAGTGGGGCCCCTGCCCTGGAGGGCACCCAGGTAGTCTAAGGACTGCTGATTATATTTGTGGACTGTGCCTTACAGTTCACGTGAATAATTTGAAGTAATAGTTTGTATATGAATAGAGTCATAAGGTTGGCAATTGATATCCTTTGGTCTGGTTTGTTCTATTGTTCATCTGTATTTTTAAATGATAACTGGGTGTGTGTATATATGTATGTATGTGTGTATGTATGTGTGTGTGTGTATATGTATGTATATCCATGGACTGTATATGTATATGTATGTGTGTGTGTGTGTGTGTGTATATCTATGTATATCCATGGACTGTATATGTGTGTGTGTGTGTGTGTGTGTGTGTGTGTGTGTGTGTGTGTATATATATATA